AAAACCGGCTTAAGGCATTCCTGAACCACAAACAATAGCAGGAGTGATCTGTGCCTTAAGGACATGTTCCTGCTGCAGATAACTAGCCAGACCCATCCCTTTGTTTCCCGTTTTAGTTAATCAATAATCTACAGAAATAATGCTTATCACTGGCTTACTGTCAATAAATATGTGGGTAAAACTCTGTTCGTGGCTCTTAGCTCTGAAGGCTGTCAGCCCCCTGATTCCCACTCCACACTCTATATTTCTGTGTGTGTGTGTCTTTAATTCCTCTTGCACTGCTGGGTTAGGGTCTCCACCACCGAGCTGGTCTCAGCAAAGGCAGCCAGATCACTTAAGGTCAGGAGTTCGAGACCAGCCTGGTCCAACATGGTGAAACCCCATCTCTACTAAAAATACAAAAATTAGCTGGGCATGGTAGTGGGCGCCTGTAATCCCAGCTACTCAGGAGGCTGAGGCAGGAGAATTGCTTGAGCCTGGGAGGTGGAGGTTGCAGTGAGCTGAGATTGTGTCACTGCACTCCAGCCTGGGTGACAGAGCAGGGCTCCATCTCTAAATAAACAAAGAAACAAATAAATAAATAAATATTTAAAAATAAACCTTTTTATTGCAAGAAATACTATTAGTAACATCAAAGACAAACAATAAACTAGGGAAAGAAAGTGTACCTTCAGTCCACACTGGAGACTTTCTCTTCCCAGCAAAAAAAAAAATTAAATTTAATTTAAAAAAGACAACTGACAAACTAGGAAAAAATACTTGCAACATTACTGTAATAGAGATATTCCTAAGACACAAACAAAAAAAACTTTAAACATTTTAGAAAAATATTTAGAATAAAAGAACTCTCATGACTCAACAATAAAAACACAACCTAATTTTAAAAGCCATTTGAATAATACTTCATTAAAGAAGGGATATAGCCCAGGCACAGTAGCTCACACCTGTAATCCCAGCACTTTAGGAGGCCAACAAGGGCAGATCATTTGAGCCCAGAAGTTCGAGACCAATCTGGGCAACATGGCAAAACCCTATCTCTACAAAAAAAAAAATACAAAAATTATCCAGGCTTGGTGTTAAATTTGCAAATTTAAAAATGAAAATAAAGAAGATACACAGAGGGCAAATAAGTACATGACAAGATGTTAGACATCATTAATCATTGAGAAAATGTAAATTAAAACCACAAAGACATACTATACATTTGCTAGAATTGCTACAATTCAAAAGAATGACAGTATCAAGTCAAGACAGGGATGTAGAGCAACTGGATATCTCAAACATTATGAGTGAGAATGCAAAATAATATAGTTCATGTGAAAAATAGTTTAACAGTACCTATAAAGTTAAATATATTATATGAACCAGCAATCTCATTTGTAACCATCCAAAATAAATAACAATATGTGACCACACAAAGACCTATGTGGAAATGTTTATGACAGCTTTATTCATAATAGCCAAAAACTAAAAACAGCAACATATAAACATACTGGTAAATGAAGAAACAAATTGTAGTACATCCATGCAATGCAACACTACTCACCAGTAAAAACGAACAACCCACGAATACATGTAACATGTATGAATTTCAAAGCACTGTGTTAACTGAAAGAAGCCAGACACAAAAGGCTACATACTTTATTGCCAATTATATGACATTCTGGAAAGACAACAGCATACAGAAAGAAATGAGATCCATGGAAGCTGGGGGTAAAAAGAGGGGATTGTGCAAAGAGGCATGAGGAAATTTTTAATGATAAAAATCTGTTAAAATTTTTAAAAAGACAAAGGCTAGAATAACCTTTGTAATGTTGGAATAAATTTGAAAAATAAAACACAGGTGGGGAGAGAAAAAGACAAATTAAGAGTTTCTTAGACATAGATCAGGGCAGGAGGGCAGATGGAAAAGAAGAGATACCTGATGACTAGAGGCTGAAAGGAGGTTCTTCGGAGAAGAGATGGTTCATGAAGCTTTTTCTGGAGAAATTCTGAGTTTTTGTGGGTAAAACTTTATTTTGTATCCCCAAAAATCTTCAGGAATAAAAGCAAATGTCTCATTGGCATTGGCTCTTTTGGATTTCTTGTGGATGCATTAAGGTTAGCTCCTGACTAAAACAGAGTTAGTTTATGCACATTAACATGGTTAGTCAATATCCTGCTTTTGTTTCAATGTCTCAGATCAAAAAGATCTTCAAGTCTAAGGTTGCTGAATTGGCCTGGCATTTTTAGCATGCATAATTCTGAAGAGAATGACCATTTTGAAAAGCTATAGTCTTTTATCCCCTTTTATATCAGGTTTATTTTATCAGAGAAATAAAAGTAGAGAGGTTTTACTCATTTCAGGGAATGCCTTAATAGTATTCTAATGTCTATTCTGATGATAAAAATGAAAAATTAGAGATAGGAGGAATTGCTAAGAGTGTTAACTACAGTGAAGACTGTTGAGACAAAGTGTACATGCAACAGATTTTGTTTTCAATTTTAGTTATTTTTCCTTTTTCCCCCTCACATTCACTTCATTTCTGGAAAGCAAGTCCTCTCCAAATCTGCTTGACACCAAGTCTTGAACACAGAATTACTTTCTTCTGTTTTATTAAAATAATGTTAGCACCTTTAATGCTGAAGTTTTTTTCTTGCTTCATTTGTAAACATAAATAAATACATAAAGTTATGTGTAATTGTATTAGTCCGTTTTCATGCTGCCGATAAAGACACACCTGAGACTGGGCAATTTACAAAAGAAAGGGGTTTAATTGGACTTACAGTTCCACATGGCTGGGGGAGCCTCACAATCATGGCAGAAGGTGAGGAGAAGCAAGTCACACCTTACATGGATGGCTACAGGCAAAGAGAGAGCTTGTGCAGGAAAACTCCCGCTTATAATAACCATCAGATCTTGTGAGACCTACTATCACGAGAACAGCATGGGAAAAACCTGCCCTCATGATTCAATTACCTCCCACCAGGTCCCTCCCACAACACATGGGAATTCAAGATGAGATTTGGGTGGGGACACAGCCAAATCATATCAGTAACTTCAGTAAATTTACAATTAATGTTTAGGCAAACTATACTTTTAATATTTCAAAATAAACATTTTTATTAACTCTAGTTTTGTACAAAATGATTACAAAGATATATACTAGATTATATAATTATATATAATACATAGTAAATATATACTAGATAACATATATCTAGTATATTATAAAACACACAGGTATATATTCCTTTGAAACATGTGTTATATAACTTCAATTATATCTACGCTTTTCCTTTTTTATTTTGCTAGAGGGTAAATCTTTCTTTTGATATTTATCGTCCAAAGGATATTATATTGCTTTACATTCCCAACCCTCTGAACCTCACCCCACTCTACCTTTTTCTCTCCAAATAGCCATATTGTCTTTGGATACATCAAAGAAATCTGGATATACCATAAAGCTGATAGATGAGGAACATAAATAAGAGGCTCCAGAAACATGGCACCTAAGATTAACACAGGGACCACCAGTGACCCTCAAAAATAAGACTTCTTTTTTAAATTAAGATTTCCGTAACAATTATTATGTTATAAATAATTATATCAAAAGCCATTTCAATTATTTTACTTATTTCTTTATTAATCCAATTTAATTTCATAACTCAATTACTTTAGAATGCAGATACTAGGAATTTGCAGTTGAAGAGATAGCACATTTCACCAAAAACAATCCGAGGCTTATGGTTTTTTACAAGCAAAGTTTTTGCATGAAATTTTATTAGTTCATTTTGTTGAATGTACCTTCTTGAATTTCAGGGGCTATTGGTCATGTGATAGAAAAATCTTTGACCATTGTGTTGTAGTCTTCATGAACAAATAATTTTATGTTTTTGTTAAGTATACTTATTGCTAAATGACATGATTTTTTTTTTCTTTCCAACTTTTATTTTAGGTTCTAGAATACATGTGCAGGTTTGTTATATGAGTAAGTTGCATGTCTCTGGTCTAGTGTACAAATTACTTTGTCACCCAGGTAGTGAGCACAATACCAAATAGGTAGCTTTTCAATTCTCTTCCACCTCCCATCCTCCACCCTCAGGTAGGCTCTGGTGTCTACTGTTCCTTTCTTTGTGTCCATGTGCACTCAATGTTTAGGTCCCACTAATAAGTGAGAACATGGAGTATTTGGTTTTCTGTTCTTGCGTTAATTTTTTTTAAACTGGATTGTAGAGTGGAAAACACGTTTATTAATTTTTTTTCTCCCCTCATACAAGGCCAAAAAAAAATTGTATAAGTATTTTGATTATACATTAGTCTACATTTTCTACATAATTACAATGATGTATAATATAATTTAGCTTTTCATAATACATTGTTTCAAGACATCATTAGTTCTGTTAAACATAAGTCACTTACTTTCAAATCCAATACTTGAATAATTTCCTCTGTGCATAGTTTAGCAGGGCTAATTAGCATAAGATGCCATTTATTAAGAGCTACATGATCTGAGCGTTAACAGTTGCTGAAGTTTGGTATTTTTATGCAGCATTTTCTTTTTGCTTTGTTAACAGTACCACAAAACTCTTAAGGATACTGAAATTTAGTAAGTAAAGTTCAGAGACATTACTTTAGTTATTGAATCAAATCTCCACATAACACTATAGTAATTAAAACGTTAAAAAAAAAAAAGTGTTGAAATCTGCACTGGTATAGACTGCTCCTGTCAGGATAAGACTCTTTGGAACAGAAAGGGAAAAGACTGCTTTGAGCTTCTTTGTGCCGATAGGAGGAAAGACACTGAATTACCTTGTTGCCTCTCACTAATGATGGAAGGTCGGGTAAATGCCAGAACGTATTCCAACTCAAAAACTCTAGGTAACTTTATGGAGGTAGAAGCTGCGTTATTTCATGCTAGGTAGCTGTAGCACTGACCTCACGTATAAAATGCAAAACACTTAAAACACTGTGATCTAGGTCTTAATTGAAAGCTATACTGAAGACTTTTTGTTGTTGTTGTTTTGGCTATACTTTCATTCCAAAAGAAGAGCTGAAATGATGCTTGAGTTACAGCACCAGTCTATTATTATTAGTGAAGAAGTACACTCTTGCAGATAAACACCAGATCAAAAGTCCTTTTTCAGCAATTTTATTAAATTGTAGAATACTAAAAAATAAGTTATTTCTATGGAAATCTTTGAAGGGAGTAAAAAAATCAAACTAAAGTATATACCTAAACATTTTAAAGGGAAATAAACCAATCATCTTCTGAAAGTCAAACAGTATTTGCTATGTTGTAATCCCATTCACTATTACGTTGCAACTGGACCACAACATTATGTTCATTAGTTTCGTTTTCTTCATCACTACTGTTGGTATCTTCATTGTCATCTTCCTCATAGTCTAAAGATTTGGTCATATTCTGATGTGAGCGGGATTCTGACAAAGCCCCAAATGACTGGGCACTGACAGAAGCTAAAGGTCTAACTAAAGGAGTATGTTCTGTCACTTCATTTTATTCTCGACTACCATCTGTGTCAGAGTCTGAATTGCCTTGAGAAGGAACTTTTTGCTTGCACACTGGACAGGTTTTTTTGGTTTTTAGTTAGTCAAGGGTCTACACACTTGCAGTGATAAGCATGGGAACAGGGAAGGATTCTGAGCTTGTCTCCATCTTCCTGCTCATCTGAACAAATGGCACATACATCATACTCATTTCCTTTCTTGAATTTATGTATAGGGAGTTTCTTAAGTTGATCTTTATGAAGTCTGTTTCTTCTAGCTCTATGTCTATCCTGGAAAAAATTTGTGATCCAATAGAAATTAAAGCATATTTCCATAAAACAAATGTCCATGTCAGCTTTATTTGTAATAGCCAAAAACATGAAAATGACTATAAAGATGAGACAGATGCCCACTATGACAAGGAAGGCAATTAGGTAGCATTCCAAGGGAAGACTAAATTCTGGAACTAAGATAAGGTGGCCCCCTTTTTCATATGTGAATTCATCTTTCAGAGAATTAGCTGATGATTCACCAATAAAGACAGATGGAATGTCAGTTGTCTTTAGTACCTCAATGTTGTTAGATTCCATGCTAATGAGGTCAACAGAATCAACATCATGAACTATGGCTGCTTTGTATTCTGCTCTCTGTGCATTTAAAATCTTTGTATCAAAATTATAATCAAGTCTTCTGATTAACACAATGAAAGTGCCAGATGAATTATCTTTTACTGGTGGAGGCACTATGGGTTTACACGCATGCTCTGGTTTTGAGTTAATCAAAAAACCCTTTAAACCTTCAGCTGGAAGTCTATAACCAAATCTTGTAGGAAGGTCATCAAATGTCTGAGATGTATTTTCAAAGTTATATGCTAAAATGTCTGCTTCTACAGGCAGTAGGTTTAAGAATGCAAAGAGCTGGACAGTCAAGATGGTGTAGACTTGTGTGACTGACAACATAAGCATCCCTGTGGAGAGCAGCATCTTGTTGTAAAATCACCTGGAAGTCCAGCCCTCGCAACACAAACAGTCTTGCCGGCCACGTTGCAGAAGTCCCTACCTTGACTTCATGACTGAATATCCGCACTGACCCCACAGCCCGGAGTAGGAGCAGGGATGACAACACTTCTTGTGTTAATTTGTTAGGATAATGGCCTCTAGCTGCATCTTGCAAATGACATGATTTTGTTCTTTTTTATGGCTGTGTAGCATTCCATGGTGCTTATGTACCACATTTTCTTTATCCAGTCCCCCACTGATGGGCATCTAGGTGGATTCCATGCCTGTGCTTTTGTGCATAGTGCTGCAATAAGCACATGCTTGTGTCTTTTTGGTAGAACAGTTTATATTCCTTTGGGTACATACCCAAATATTGGATTGTTGGGTCAAATGGTAATTCTGCTTTGAGCTCTTTGAAAATTCACCAAACTGCTTTCCAAAGTGGCTAGGAACTAATTTACATTCTCACTAGTAGTGTATAAACTTTCCCATTTCACTGCAAACTCACCAACATCTGTAATTTTTTGACTTTTTAGTAATAGCCATTCTGACTGGTGTAAGATAGTATCTCACTGTGGTTCTGATTTTCATTTTTCTGATTAGTGATGTTGAGCATTTTTTCATATGGTTGGCCACATGTATGTCTTTTGAGAAGTGTCTGTCCATGTCCTTTGCCCATTTTTTTTTTTTTTTTTTGAGATGGAGTCTTGTTCTGCCAGGGTGGAGTGCAGTGGTGCAATCTCGGCTCATTGCAAGCTCCGCCTCCCGGGTTCATGCCATTCTCCTTCCTCAGCCTCCCAAGTAGCTGGGACTACAGGTGCATGCCACCATGCCAGGCTAATTTTTTGTATTTTTAGTAGAGACAGGGTTTCACCATGTTAGTCAGGATGGTCTCGATCTCCTGACCTTGTGATCTGCCTGCCTTGGCCTCCCAAAGTGCTGGGATTACAGGCGTGAGCCGCAGTGCCTGGCCCCATTTTTTAATATGACTGTTTTTTGGCTTGTTGATTTGTTTAAGTTCCTTATGGATTCTGAATATTATACCTTTGTCAGAGGAATAGTTTGCAAATATTTTCTCCCATTCTGTAGGTTATCTGTTTATTTTATTAATAGTTTCTTTTGCTGTACAAAAACTCTTTAGTTTAATTAGGTCCCACATGTCAATTTTTGGTTTTGTTGCAATTGCTTTTGGAGTCTTTATCATGAAATCTTTGCAAGGATCTATGTCCAGAATGGTATTTCCTAGGTTTTCTTCTAGAGTTTTCGCAGCTTTATGTTTTACATTTAAGTCTTTAATCCATCTTGAGTTAATTTTTATATATAACGTAAGGAAGGTGTCCCATTTTTATCTTTTGCATATGACTAGCCTGTTATCCCAGCATTTATTGACCAGGAACTCCTTTCTCCATTGCTTATTGTTGTCACTTCTGTCAAAGATCAGATCATTGTAGGTACATAGCTTTACTTCTGGGTCCTCACACTTGTTTCTTTGGTCTATGCCTCTGTTTTTGTACCATTACCATGCTGTTCTGATTACTGTAGCTTTATAGTATACTTTGATATCAGGGAGTGTGATGCCTTTGGTTTTAGTTTTGTTTTTTGCTTTTTCGTGTTTTTTTTTTTTTCTTTCTTGGAATTGCTTTGGCTATTCAGGCTCTTTTTTGGTTCTATGTGTATTTTGGAATGGTTTTTTCTAATTCTGTAAAAAATGTCATTGGTAGTCTAATAGGAATAGCATTGAACTGTACGTTGCTTTGGACAATGTATTAGTCCATTTTCATTCTACTGATAAAGACATATCTGAGACTGAGTAATTTATAAAGAAAAAGAGGTTTAATGGACTCAGAGTTCTACATGGCTAGAGAGGCCTCACAATTATGGGAGAAGGCCAAAGGCAAGTCTTACATGGCAGCAGCAAGAGAAAATGAGAGCCAAGCAAAGGGGGAAACCAGTTATAAAACTGTTAGATCTTTTGAGACTTATTCACTACTACAAGAACAGTATGGAAAAAATTGCCCCCATGATTCAATTATCTATCACTGAGTCCCTCCCACAACACATGGGAATTATGGGAGCTACAATTCAAGATGAGATTTGGGTGGGTATACAACTAAACCATATCATTCCACTGCTGGTCCCTCCTAAATCTCATGCCCTCACATTTCAAAGTCCATCATGCCTTCCCAACAGTCCCCCAAAGCCTTAACTCATTTCAGTATTAACTCAAAAGTCCACAGTCCAAAGTCTCATCTGAAACAAGGCAAGTCCCTTCCACCTGTGAGCCTATAAAACCAAAAGCAAGTTCAGTTACTTCCTAGATAAAATGGGGGTACAGGCATTGAATAAATACACTCATTCCAAATGGGAGAAATTGGCCAAAACAAAAGGGTTAAAGGCCTCATGCAGTCTGAAATTCAGTGGGGCAATAAAATCTTAAAGTCCAGAATGATCTCCTTTGACTCCATGTCTCACATCTGGGTCATGCAGATATAAGAGGTGGGTTCCCATGGTCTTGGGCAGCTCTGCCCTGTGGCTTTGCAGGGTACAGTTGCTTTTATGGGCTGATGTCGAGTGTCAGTGGCTTTTCCAGGTGCATGATGCAAGCTGTCAGTGGATCTACCATTCTGGAGTCTGGAGGATGGTGGCCCTCTTCTCACAGCTCTGCTAGCCAGTACCCCAGTGGGGACTCTGTGTGGGGGCTTCAAGCTCACATTTCCTTTCTGCATTGCCCTAGCAGAGGTTCTCCTTGAGGGCCCCGCCCCTGCAGCAAACTTCTGCCTGGACATCCAAGCATTTCTATACATCCTCTAAAATCTAGGCAGAGATTCCCACATCTCAATTCTCAACCTCTGTGCACCCACAGGCTCAACACCACATGGAAGCTGCCAAGACTTGGGGCCTGCGTCCTCTGAAGCCACAGACCGAGCTGTACCTTGGCCCCTTTTAGGCATGGCTAGAGTGGCTGGGATGCAGGGCATGAAGTCCTTAGGCTGCACATACCAGGGGGGCCCTCGGCTTGGCCAAGGAAACCATTTTATCCTCCTAGGCCTCCAGGCCTATGATGATAGGGCAGACCATGAATGCCCTATGACATGCCCTGGAGACATTTTCCCCATTGTCTTGGTGATTGACATTTGGCTCCTCATTACCTATGCAAATTTCTATACCTGGCTTGAATTTCTCCTCAGAAAATGGGTTTTTCTTTTCCTCCACATCATCAGGCTACAAATTTTCCAAACTTGTGTGATCTGTTTCCCTTTTAAAACTGAATGCTTTTCACAGCACTCAAATCACCACTTGAATGTTTTACTGCTTAGAAATTTCTTCCACCAGATACCCTAAATCATCTCCCTTAAGTTCAAAGTTTCACAAATCTCTACGGCAGGTGCAAAAGGTCACTGCTAAAACATAGCAAGAGTCACCTTTACTCCAGTTCCCACCAAGTTCCTCATCACCATCTGAGACTATCTCAGCCTGGATTTCATTGTCCATGTCATTATCAGCATTTTGGTCAAAGCCATTCAACAAGTCTCTAGGGAGTTCCAAACTTTCCCACATTTTCTTGTCTTCTTCTGAGCCCCTTACACTGTTCCAACCTCTCCCTGTTACCCAGTTCCAAAGTCACTCTCACATTTTCAGGTATCTTTACAGCAGCACTCCACTCCTGGTACCAATTTACTGTATTAGTTCATTTTCATGCTGCTGATAAAGACATACCTGAGACTGGGTAATTTACAAAGAAAAAGAGGTTCAATGGACTCACAGTTCCATGTGGCTGGGGAGGCCTTATAATCCCAGTGGAAAGCAAAACGCATATCTCACACACAACAGGCAAGAGTGAATGAGAGCCATGTGAAAGGGGAAATCCCTTATAAAACCATCAGATCTCATGAGACTTATTCACTACCATGAGAACAGTCTGAGAGAAACTGCCCCCATGATTTAATTATCTCTCACCGGGTTCCTCCCGCAACACATGGGAATTAAGCAAGCTACAATTCAAGATGAGATTTGGGTGGGGACACAGCCAAACTATATCAGGAAGTATAACCATTTTAACAATATTGAATCTTCCTGTCCATAATATGGAATTTTTTTTTATTTGTTTGTGTTGTCTCTGATTTCTTTCAGCAGTGTTTTTTTATTCTCATTGTAGAGATACTTCACTTCTCTGGCTAGCTATATTTCTAAGTATTTTATTCTTTTTGTGGCCATTGTTAATAGGATTGTGTTCTTTACTTGGCACTCAGTTGGGATGTTATTCATGTATAGAAGTGCTACAGATTTTTGTATCATGACTTTGTATCTTGAAACTTTGCTGAAGTTGTTTGTCAGATCTAGGAGCCTTAGGGCAGAGGCTATGGTGTTTTCTAGGTATAGAATCATATCACCTGTAAACAAAAATAGTTTGGCTTTCTCTCTTCCTGTTTGGATGCCTTTTATTTCTTTTTCTTGCCTGATTGCTCTGGCTAGGAATCTGGTACATGCTGAATAGGAATAGTGAAAGTGGGCATCTCTGCCTTGTTCCAGTTCTCAAAGAGAATGTTTCTAGATTTTGCCCATTCAGTATGATGTCAGTTGTGGGTTGGTCATAGATGGCTCATTTTGAGGTATACCTAGTTATTGAGGATTTTTAACATGAAAGAATGTTGAATTTTATCAAAAGCCATTTCTGCATTTACTAAGATGATCATTTTTTTGTTTTTAGTTCTGTTTATGTGATTAATCACATTTATTGATTTGGGTATGTTAAACCAACCTTGCATTCCAGGAATAAAGCCTGCTTGATCATGGTGGACTAGCTTTTTGATGTGCTGCTGGACTTGGTTTACTAGTATTTTGTTGAGAATGTCTGCATCTATGTTTATCAGGAATACTGGCCTAAAGTTTTCTTTTTTTGCTGTGTCTCTACTAGGCTTTGGTATCAGCATGATGTTTTTTTAATAGAATGCGTTAGGGAGGGAACCCTCCTCCTCAATTATTTGGAATAGTTTCAGCTGAATTGGTACCAGCTCTTCTTTCTATGTCTGGTAGAATTCAGCTGTGAATCATTCTAGTCTAGGACCTTTTCTGGTTGGTAGGATTTTTATTACTGATTCAATTTCATAATGCCTTATTGATCT